ACCTGAAATAGAAGATATGTAGTTCTGACCTTGAGTATATTGAGCATAATATAAACCCTCTTGTAGGAACAGTTCTCCCATTTATTTGATAGCATATATTTTAAACTATCTTTATGTTATTATCTAGTAATTCATTTTTCATTTTGCAATAAACAACTTAACACATTATAAAAATAACATACAAGAAAACTGTTCTAGAGGACTTCAAATAGTTTGTGAAAGAAATGGAATTAAAGTACAAGTGTATTTGTTAACAATTTTTTTTTAATTCATGAAGTTTCTCAAAATGCAAATCTTCCATGAGCTTTTTGAAGATTCCCCTCTCATCTAATGAAAGAAGTGTTGTCTTTTCAGTGTTCAAGAAAGGTGGTAATACATAAGAAGTAGCAGAAGTTACAGGGTGTTTTGGTGCCATTAAGGTGAGAGAAAGGTGGAGTGTTGTCATTGATTACATTGAAGTGAGGTGACTCAAATCTATTAACGAAAGCACCTGAATCTAATAATAGTGATTTTAAGACTTTCTAGAGAGGAGATTTTTTTTTTTTTTTTTTTTTTTTTTTAACAAAAAAGAGGGGTGGGGGAGAAAGATTGAGATTTTAGCTATAGAGTGCATGTGCTTGATGGAGAGACAGACAGAAAGCAAGAAATCCCACTGTGGGGGATGGCCACACCACGATCTCCTCTCCTCCCTTCTGAGAGGAGGATTTAATATGTGTGGTCTATAAAACAGAGCATCGGGACCAGCAGTTAGCATAATGGTTATTTCACTGAACTCCCATGTAGTCAACCGCAGTTCAAGTCCTAGACCTGGTGGCTTAAAACACGCTGGGCACGTGTGCGTGCATGCCCAAGATCCCGAGAGGAGAATGGAGGAGAAGGAGTTGTGGCATGGCCATCCCCCCTGGGGGATGATTTCTCGCTTTCTTTCTCTCTGTCTGTTTCTCTGTCTTTCAGGGGAGCGCATGAGCCCTAGAACAAAAAAAGAAACCTCTTAAAAAAAAAAAAAAAAAAAACAGAGCATCTACAGGAATTGTTTTTTTCTTCTCTCCCTTTTGTTTATGTATTTTGATAAAAACTTATTTATTTTAGTGTAGACCCATAGGTATTTTATACTTTGGGCTATAATCTAATACTACCTTTTTCATTCTTTTGCTCTAATTGTTCTAGCTTCTCTGGTCTCCTGTGAAACTTTACCCTATCATTGTAGATTCTTTTTTTGTTTCATTTTATTTTTTAGGTTTTTGGATAGAGAGCATATACTCACTGGAGACAGGGAAAGGGAGAAAGTAAGAAATCACCCATGGGGGATGGAGGGGATGGTCCCTTCTCTGTTCTCTTCTTGGGATTTTGGGCATGCATGCTCATGTGCCTGGTCTGATTTTCAAGCCGCCCACTGTGTTTGGGATTCGAACCATGGTCAGCCATGTGGAAGTAGAGCACCCTAATCACCACGCTGCCTCCTGATCCCTTTCTGTTTCTTTATTTGTTTGATTTTATTTGGAGACTTTATTAATTTACCACAAGATATTTCAGCCTCAATTTATATATATATATATATATATATAAATTATTATTTATTTACTTATTTTTTTGGAGAGGTTTTTACTTTAGGGTGCGTGCGCTCGCCAGAAAGAGAGAGACAGAGAGACAGAAAGTGAGAAATCACCCCCAGGGGGATGGCCATGCCACAATCCCTTCTCCTCCATTCTCCTCTCAGGATCTTGGGCACGCACACACACGTGCCCAGTGTGAGTTTAAGCCACCAGGTCTGGGACTCAAACCAGTCGACTACACAGCCATTATGCTAACTGCTGCTTCCTCAATTTATATATTTCCTGCCTCAGTCATGTAAGCAATTTATTTAAAGTGTCCTGTTTCATTTTCTTAGACAATGAATGGTATTAAAGTGAAAAAAGTTAAGATCTGTGGATATGATATGAACTATTGTTACTGGAATGTTGTTTCTTCTAAGTCTGTAAGTTGGCAAGGCAAGAAAATATATAAGGTTATACAAGTGGTGTGTACATGCATATCTATAAACATTTCTATGTGTAACTCTCTATATTGAGTTTAAAAATAAACTCACACTGTTTTTTCCAACTCTTTATCACCACAAGAATTATTCTAGCCATATTCCTTGGATTATCTATTGATTTTCACCGCAAAAGTTAAGAAACTTGACTCCAAACCATAAGAAATCTGGTGTCTATTTGATTTATTAATCCCAGACTGTGTGTGTGTATAACAGTATCAGAGTAAAGCCCTATTTCCCTAGAATACAATTGAATCTAATGAATTGCAATACTTAAATTGACTTTTGTCTTCAGTCTCAAAAACTTTCATTTCTAGTCACTTAGATCAGCACACTGTGTAGTGAAGTTGTTTCATAATACAGTCTGATTCTCTTCTCGCAGTTGGCATTTCTTCCAGGAATCCTTAGAACTCCTAAAAGATTTTCTTTCTTTTCTTTTCTCTCTCTGTTTTGTTAAATGTATGCAGTGGTTCACTCATAATGCTGTAAAGCTCCATAGTTTAACTTAGGCATGGTACTAGGTATTCACATTACAATATCACAAAAAATAGTTTCACCACCATAGAAGCACCATTGTCCGATTCCCTATCTCCTTCATCTCATCAGTCCTTTCCCTTCTCTCCTGAACCCATGACAAACAGATTTTTTGAAAGCTCTTTACAGATTTTTAATTTTTTCAGGATTTCATAAACTTGGAATTATTCAGTGTATAAACTTTACAGATTGGCTTCTTTCACTTAGCAGTTTTTGTTTCATAATCATCCATGACTTTCCTGGCTTAATAGCTCTTATTTTATCACAAATAATACTCCCTTGTGTGGTTGTACCACAATTTATTCATTTATCTGCTGAAGAGTATCCTGCTTGCTTTCAGTTTGGGGCACTTATAAATCCTCTGTAAACATTAATATGCTGGTTTTATGTAGACGTAAGTTTTGCAATCAGTTGGGTAAATACCTAGAAGGTTGAATGTTGGATCATATATTGTGTTAAAGAAAAAACTGTGATAAGAAAATTTAACAAAGTTTATTGGAACAAGAATAAGGTTCTATAATGGGGCAGAATTCCAGACCAGAGGTTGTTTTGAATGCTTCACTCATGACATGCACAGATTATATTTATAGCCAGAGAAAAGGAAGTGCCAAACAGAAACGGTCTACTCTGTGCTATCAGCATTTGCCTCATAAGTCCACGTTTTGGCAGCTCTTCCACATCTGATTGGCTGGTGGTCTGGCTACTGCGGCTGGTCTGAGACTCAAACGCTTGGTCCTTATGAACTTATGTTCATAAGTGTGTTTATAGCTTGGTTACACATCAAGCTAGGTTATGGCTCACTATGTAAATAGGCAGCCCCAGGCCGCACTCCTCACCTCAGTACAGAGACAGATTTAGGTGACACTTCATTCAGTTTAACCATCAAGAATATTTTTAACTGTGTAAGAGACCTCTAAATCACTTCGAAAGTGGTTGTACACTTTTACCTTCCCACCAGAAATTAATGAAAGTTTATATTGCTCCACATCCTTGTTAGAATTAGGTACTTCTGGTTTGCTGAATTTTAATCATTGTAATAGTTATGAAATATCTATCCCATTAGTGGTTGGGTTTAAAATGATCTAATGATAAATTATTGTAAGTATATTATTTTTGCATATTTCTTTGCTATTTGTATCTTTCCTGTTGAGGTGTCTAATCTTTTCTTTTTTGCTCATTTTTAAAAATTGTGATGTTATTGTATAATCTTAAGGACTTGTGTGTCTTTTGGATACATACCCTTTATCAGGCATAGGTTTTGCCAATATAGATAGTTTCTTCCAATCTTTTCATTCTGTAACACTATTTTTCAAGAGAAGAATTTTTAAATTTAAAAATGCACAACTCCTTTTTTTCCCCCACATATTTTTTGGGGGAGGGGAGGTTTTTGCTGTAGGGTGCATGTACTTGCCAGAAAGACAGAGAGAGACAGAGAGACAGAAAGCACCCCCCAGGGGACATGGCCATGCTGCAATTCCTTCTCCTCCATTCTCCTCTTGGGATCCTGAGTACCCACGTACAGTTTAAGCCACCAAGTCCAGAACTCGGACTACAATCAACTACATGGGAGTCCAGCGACACAGTCACTATGCCAACTCCCTTCCCCCACACATCTAGGAACTCATCACAAAACTCATTTACCTAGATTTTTATCCTATTTTCTTCTAGAAGTCTTGGACTTTCCTGTATTACATTTAGATTTATGATTTGAGTTATTTTCTAGTAAATGTGTAAGATTTCTTTCTTATTTAATTTTTATTTATGAATATGGGCACCTGTTTTTTTCCGTCATGGTTTGTCCTATAAGTGCTTCATTGGTTTTGTAAATGCTAATTGGTTTTAGACCTTTATCAAAGCTGAGTTGATTATATTTTTGTGAGTCTGTTTTCTGTCTCTCTGTTACTCCATTGGTCTGTGGCCCTATCTTTCTCCAGGACTAGTCATTCTTGATTATTGTAGCCTTATGGTGAATACTGAAACGAGTACTCAAACTTTGTTCTTCTTTTTCAGAATTGTATTGGGTATTTTGGTTATTTTTTTCTTTCCACATAAAATGACTTTCTGGTATACTGGTTGTAATTGCCTTGACTCTACAGAGAAGCTAAGTAGAACTGACATCTTGACAACTGAATATTCTAATTTGTGAACATGGAATATTTCTCTACTTAATTAGTTTTTTAATATTTGTGATCAGAGTTTTATTTTTTCCTTAAATAGATCATGTGTGTATTTTTAAAACTTGACAACTTAGTATTTGTGGTTTTATAAATGTCATTATGTTTATAATTTTAGTTAAAATGGGTTGCATTTTTAATTTCAACTTTGAGTCGTTCATTGCTGGAATATAGAAAATCAATTATCTTTGTTGTATTGTCCTTGCATCCTGAACTTTGCTATAATTACTTATTAATTCCAGATTTTTTGTTGTTTTTAGCAATTCTTCAGGATTTTCTCCTTAATGAAAGTAATTCCAAAGAAGTTATACTTGAAGACAAAAAAAGATCTGGAAGACAGTAGGGCATTAAATAATGAGGTAAATAATTATAACGTCTAATATTCAATAAGACATAAAAAACCCTTTATAATATGTCTAGAAACGAATGTTATAGAACAATTCTTTGAACAACATTAACTATCAGTACTCTCACAAGGAGAAATAGCTATGCAAATAGCATATATTTATTAAAGAAGTTGATTCAATAAATAATTACCTTACAAAAGGGAAATGCCAGGCTAAGATGAATTCTCCCCAACCTTTAAAAAACAAGTGATAACGATCTCTGCATCTGCTTCAGAAGATACAGAGGGGGGTACTTTAGAAGCCATTCTGTGATCCAGACATTGCACTGAGACCAAAACCAAAGATACTGCAGCAAAGAAAAGGACAGACCAGTTTCTCTTATAAACATTAGATGCTAACATACATAACAGAAATTAAGCAAATAAATACAGTAATGTTCATAAAAAAATTAGAAGTTGGAAGTCTCGTTTGAATTTTATTTTGACTCAGTGTCACTTTAGACAAGCACACTAGATAAAAACTATAAAACACTAGATTGAAGAGCAGAGCATTTTAACGTTAAAATTTAGAGAATTAAACGTAATGAATAGTAATAAAGAATGGTGAATTATATGACAGAAAGAAAAATAAGGAGTGTAATTTAAATCCAATTAAGCTAGGAGAATAACATTTTTTACCCACTTCAGTTAATACCTTATAGTGGACTAATTGCACATTAATGACCAAGTCAAAAATGAAACCTACAATTTGAAATAGAAATGATAAGTTAATGTCCTTTCACATGATTGTTCTGGCTTTAAAAAATGGACAGTTTTTAATATGTAATGTCAACACTGATGTCGGACAGGGAGCGTAGGATATGCCAAGCCATCACTCCATCTTCTTTATGGGGGAGAGCTCTTTGAGAATCTCTACCCTTAGGTATGTGTTTCCTTTTAGATAGGTATAGCCCCTTGACATTTCAAAAAACATATTTAGAGGTGAAATACACACACATTCATGCAGTGAGGTACTTCTTAACTTTTTCTAAATAACAGCATATGTAAAATTATTTTAATAAAATTTTCACTCCTAATATATTTTTAATTTTTTTAAATTTGTGATAGAGCATGAGTGTGCACACGTGGGAGAAATAGATGACAACCCTGCACAAGCTCTAATTATGCTGTGAGCCCTTCCTCTAGTCCTCCAGCCCTCCAGCCCACTGGGTCCTGAGGACTCGTGTGTATGCTCAGCATGTTTTAGGCTGACCATGCTGGGGATTTGAACTGTTGTTGTTGCCATGTGAGATGGACTTCTCTTGAGTCAGCACATTGCGGCTGTGCCACCAAACCTGTACAGTTATGTATTTTTTTTTTTAAGAAATTTTTGCTGTAGGACACATGTGCTTGCTGGAGAGAGAGACAGAAAGCAAGAAATCACCCTCTACCCAGGGATGGCCCTGCCACAGTCCCTTCTCCTACATTCTCCTTTTGGGATTTTGGGCATGCATGCAAACACACCTGGTGTGAATCTTAAGCCCCTGGGTCCAGGACTCAAACTACAGTTGATTACGTGGGAGTCCAGCGACATACTCTTATGCCATCTGCTGGCCCCTCAATTATGTTTATTAATGACTTTGATTTGATTGTGTGATTTTAGATAAAATCATATATTTGATAAAATCACACATTAACTTTATCTGTAAAATAGAACATTTGTCAGATCAGCCTGTGGTCTGGACTAAGGCAGCTGAATCCCACATGACTGACGATGCAATTTGAGTCCCAGAGTTGGTAGATTGGAAAACCACGCTGGTTGCATGTGAGTGAATGTCCTCAAATCCTGAAAAGTAGGGAGACATTGAAGGGTAGGAATTGTGGCATGACCAGTGCTTTCTTGTTTCTCTGTCTCTCTCTTGACTCTTTTGGGACCTCTGGCAAATTAAATAAATAAAAATACCACATTTTCTATCCAGAAAAAGTTATTTCAGACCTAATTAACGTGTTTGCTGTATACACCAGCATTCCGGCATATTCAAGTTTAATGTTGAATTTAATCTTGAGTTGGCCCCGTAGCATGGTGGTGAAGGAAATAACATGGCTGACTGTGGGGTTGGAATCCTAGTCCCAGAAGCAAAACATGATAGGCATATATGTGTATATGCCCAAGTTACAGATGGAGAAATGGAGAAGGGATTGTAACGTGACCACAACCAACTGGGAGATGCTTCTTTCCTCTCCCTCTATCTGGAAAGCATGTACACTCTGGCAAAATAATAGTAACAATCTTATGCACACAAATTTTCTATAGATATAAAAACAATCTACTTAGGCTCTTTTTCTATGTAACTCATACTTTATTTTGTAACATCTGTTGGCTTTGAGATTTCCAGGAAAGTATTTTTTAAACCATTTTATTGTGAGGTCATTGCATTGAAACACAAAAGCTGTACATAACTAAGGTATAACATTTGAGAAATTTGGAAATAAATGTCTTCGAAACCACTACCCCACTGAAGGCCATAAACATAGCCATCATCTGGAATGGTTATCTTTCCTTTGATGAGAACATTTACCAAAAGATCTTCTTCTTAGCAAATTAAGCATGTATTAGTAGAAGAATAAACTATAAGCACTATGCTGTGGCATAGAACTACAGCACTGAATCATTTTGCATACCAAACTTTGGAGCCTTTGATGAACACTTCTCCATTTCCCCTCCCCCCAGCCCACAGCATCCACCATTCTGCTTTCTGCTCCAAGTTCAATGTTTTTAGATTCTATATATCATTCAGTATTTGTCTCTATGTATCCAGCTTATTTCCATAATGTCCTCAAGATTCATGTAAATGGATGGCTTTCCTTCATTTTTTAGGCTGAGTCATATTGTATTTGTGTACCATGATTTCTTTGTCCATCCATTCATCAGTGGGCATTTCGGTTTATCTCATATCTTGACTATAGAGAATGATTCTGCTGTGAATGTATGAGTACAAATATCCCTTCAAAATCCTGATTGTAGTTCCTTTGCATATACGTATACCCAGAATTGGAATTGCTGCATCAAATAGTTCTGTTTTTTTTTTTTTCTTTAACTACCAGTGAGTGTGATCATTTGCTAGAGAGACAGAAACAGAGAGAGATGTAGAGACAGAGAGAAGGCAGCCCCCTCCCCCCCCCACCTTCCCAAGGCTTATGGTCATGCTTCAGTCCCTTCTTTTCACTTCTCCATACCATTGGGAATTGGGCATGCACACAGTCATGCATCCTGTGACCATGCGCCTCAAGCTACCAGAGTTAGGACTTGAACTGTGGTTGGCCATGTGGGATTTGACTTCCTTAGCTATGAATCAACAGGGCCAGGCAATTCTATTTTTAATTTCTTGAGAACTTGCATTCTATTTTTCATAGTAGCTGCACCACATACATGTTCACCCACTGTGGACGGAGGTTTCTGTTTTCCATATCCTTGCCAACACTTGTCATTGTTGTTGTTCATTTGGTTTTGTTTTTGATAATATACTAACAGGTGTGAGGCAATATTTTATCAGGCTTTTGATTTGCATTTTTTTCATGATTAGTAATTTTAAGCACCTAGTATTATACCTTTGATTGTATATCTTCTTTAGAGAAATGTTTATTCAGGTCTTTTAATCATTTTTAACAAAAGATTACTTGTTTTTGTTTTTGCTGAATTGTAGGAGACCATTATATATTTTAGATTTATCCCTTATTTGATATGTAATTTTCAAATCTTTTCTACCATTGTGTAAGCTGTTGATTGTGTAGAACCCTTAATTTCATACAATTCCACTTGCTATTTTTGTTTCAATCACCCTTTTAGGGTCATATCCAAGAAATCATCTACAATTCCAAAAGGTAATTTTTCTCTATATTTTCATCTAAAAGTTTGAAGCTTTAGATTTTACCTTTGAGTTTATCTCTTTATAAATTTATTTTTGTGTATTATGTGATAAAATTTCCAATTTCATTCTTTTGCATGAAGATACCCAATTTCACCATATATAATCATTTATCAAAGAAACCATACTCTCCTGATTCTGTAATGTGCACATTATTATAGAAGATCAGTTAACCATATAAGCATAGTTTGTGTGTGCGTGTGTACATCCATGTACACTTTTTATTTGGGTATATTGATCAGTATGTTTGTTCTTATGCCAGACCGTATCATTTTGATTACTCTAGATTTGCAATATATTCTAAAACCTGGAACTGTGATAACCCAGCTCCATTTTCTTTGCTAAGAAACTCTTAGACTATTCAAGGTATTTTTTTAATTTCTAGATACATTTTAGGATAGTTTTTGTTTGTCTCTTGGAAAAAATGACAATCTCTCTGATAGTCTTGAATTAAAAAAAAAAGTCATTGGACCTCCGATAGAGATTTTACTGACTTTGTAGATTACTTCAGGTAGGACTGTGTGGGCATTTTAACAATCCTGATTCTCCCAAACCATGAAAATGGGCTGTCTTTTTATTTATTTGTGTCTACTTTATTTCTTTCATCAATGTTTTAGAGTCTTCACTACACAGATCTTTCTCCCAGATGGTTATTCCAGGTATTTTATTCTTTCTGATACTAGAGTAAATAAGGTTATAGTTCTTGTATCTTTTTCATATGAGTTGTTGTTAGTGATTAAAAACACTACAGATTTTTATGTTGATTTTTCTGTCATGCAACTTCAGTAAATTTGTTGATTGGTTTTGATGAATTTTTTTGTTTTATGTAGTTTTCATTTTATATAGTTTTTAGAGTTATCTACATTTAAGATTATATCATTTGGAAGTAAACATAGTTCTTCTTTTTCCTTTCTAATTTGGGTGCTTTCAAATACTTTTCTTCTTTGCCCATTTGCTCTGATTAGTACTTTATTCTTTTTTTTGGAGAGTTTTTTTTTTTTTTTTTTTTTCACTATAGGGCATGTGCGCTCGCCAGACAGACAGAGACATAGAGACAGAAAGTGAGAAATCAGCCCCCGGGGGGATGGTCACGCCACAATCCCTTCTCCTCCATTCTCCTCTCAGGATCTTGGGCACGCACGCACACGCGCCCGGCGTGAGTTTTAAGCCACCGGGTCCAGGATGCAAACCGCAGTCGACTATGTGGGAGTCCAGCGACATAGCCATTACACTAACTGCTGGTTCCCTTTTCTTTTCTTTTTGAATTCAGTTGTGAAACTATTTGGTTCTGGTTTGGGAGGTTTTTGACTGCTGACTCATTCTTGTTATTGGTCTGTTTATGCTTTTTATTTCTTTTTAATTTGGTCTTTGTAGGTTGTATATTATACAGTTTCTTTTTTCTCAGTTGTCCAATTTGTTCGTTTATGTTGTTCGTAACAGTCTGTTATAATTTTTTTTTATTGGTGTGAAATTAGTTGTAATGTCTGTTCTTTCACTTCTGATTTTATTTGAGCCATCTATTATTTTAGTTTAGCTAAAGGTTTGCCAATTTTCTTTACTTTTTTTTTTAAGTTGTGGTTCAGTATTTTGTCTATTTTTCTATTCTTCATTTGATTTACATTTATTATTGCTCTTTTATAATTTCTTTCCTGCTGCTCAGGTTGGGCTTAGTTTCTTTCTTTCTTTCTTTCTTTCTTTCTTTCTTTCTTTCTTTCTTTCTTTCTTATTTTTTTCTAGTTCTTCTGTATAAATTTGGATTGTTTATTTGTGGTTCTTCTTCTTCTTTTTTTTTTTTCTTTAATTTGGCAGAGGGTACCTGTGCTTTGATGGAGAGAGAGAAAGGAAAAGTGAGAGAAAGAGAAAGTTAGAGAAAGGGAAAGTGAAAGAGCACCCCTTACCCAATGAAGGTAATCACACCTCAATCCCTTCCCCCTCATTCTCCTTATTTTTTTGATTTTAGGGAAGTATGTTCATGGACCCAGCATGCTTCTCAAGTCTCCAAGTCTGGACCTGAACCATGGAGTCAGCCATGTGGGATTCAGCCACCTTAATCGCCATGACACAGGCTGGCCCCTCCTTATTCATTTATTTTTTTAAGGTAGATTTTTGGTAAGGGCACATGCATTTGCCAGGTAGACAGAGACAGAGAGACAGAAAGTAAGAAATCATCCCCCAAGGGGAATGGCCACACCACAGCCCCTTCTCTTCCATTCTCCTCCTGGGATTTTGGACATGCATACACATATACCCAGTATGATTTTCAAGCCACTGAGTCCAGGACTCAAACTGTGGTTAGCCATGTGGGAATTTCTTTATGGCTAACATGATATTTATACTAAATATGTTACTGAATTTTCTGGAAAGTCATGACATATTTTTGCATAGAAAAAAAGAAAAATATATCATGACTTTGCTGACAACACATTATAATAATAATAATATATTTTATCCTGATAACAATTTAATTTCACTCACATACAAAAACTTCTGCATTTTTACTTCTTTCACACATGTATCATGTTATCAGCCTCAGATTTTATTCATTATGAATTACAATCCTATTGAAGGAATATACTATGTTGTAATTCTTTATGCATTTATGTTCATCAGTGAGATTTATGCTTTAATATGCTGTTTAGCACCTTTTCACTTCAATTTGTAGAACTCCCTTTCGCACTTCTTGTAAGACAGGTTAAGTGATGATGAATTCCCTCAGTTTCTGTTCATCTGGCAAAGTCATTTTCTTTCCATTTTTAAAGGACAGATTTGCTGTGTGTAGTATGCTTGGTAACAATATTTTTCTTTCAGTACTTTGGATATATTATCCAACTCTCTTGGCCTGAACAGTTCTTGCTGAGAAAACTTTTAGTAGTATTTTAGAGATTCCCCTGTGGGTGATAAATTCACTTCTCTTTCTGCTTTCAAAATCCTCTTTGACTTTAGATGAGTGTAACTATCTGTCTAAGTGTATACATCTATAGGTAACATCTTTTCCTGGCTTTGTGTATCTGGATGTCTATTTCTCTTCCCAGATGTAGTAAACTTTTTGCGTTATCATTATTTTTATAAATAAACGTTCCAGCAGTTAGCGTAGTGGCTGTGTCACTGGACTCCCATGTAGTTGACCGTGGTTTGTGTCCTGGACCCGGTGGCTTAAATTCACGCTGGGTGCATGTGTGTGCGTGCCCAAGATCCTGAGAGGAGAATGGAGGAGAAGGGATTGCAGCGTGGCCATCCCTTCTCGGGGGTGATTTCTCCCTTTTTATCTCTCTGTCTCTCTCTGTCTTTCTGGCAAGCACACATGCCCTATAGCAAAAACAAAACAAAACAAAACTCTCAAAAAATAAAATAAACATTCTGTAGCTGTTTTTTCTCATTTCTATTTTTGTCATTCATAATGCATGTATTGTTTTCTTGATGGTATCCCCTAAGTCCTATAGGCTTTATTTACTCTTTTTCTTTCCCTCACAGTCTGATTTCAATGAACTTGTTGAGTGCACTAATTCTTTCTTTCTGTTGACCAAATCTGTTGTTGAAACTCTCTGTTAAATTTTTTAGTTGAGTCATTGCTTCAGCTCTAGGATTTCTGTTTCCTTTTTGTTTTCTATTTCTTTGTGAATTTCTTGCTTTGTTTCTGTATTATGATTTTCCATATTTTGTTTAGTTGTGCATTCATGTCTTTTTTCATTCACTACACTTCTTTAAAATTACTGTTTTGAATTATTTGTCAGGGAGTTCATAGATCTCCATTTCCTAAGCTTTGGTTACTGGAGTTTTATTAAATTCCTTTTTTGTGTCATGTTTCCCTGATTCTTCTTGAACTTTGTATTCTTGCACCAATGTCTGCATAGTTAAGGAAATAGTCACATTTTCTAGAGTACGGAATAGAATGACTTCAGCAGGGATAGACCTTCAACAGTCATCTTGGCCTAAAGTATCAAAAGACAACAGGTATCTTGTCTCCTAAAGTCTTTGTTCAAATGAGACCTGCAGTCAGGGTTCACAGAAGGATGGTCTACCACCCAAGTCTCCACTGGTTGATAGGAACTTTCATTTTTTTTTTTTTCTTTTTTGGTAGGTAATTGTCTACAGTGCTTTGAGTGAAGCAAAACAATAGTATATTATTTTAACAACATCTTGAAATGCTGAAAAACTGGGTAGCTCACTCACAGTCTGCTTCTTCCACAGGAAAAATCATGGGCCAAGGAGATCCTTCTGAGTTCTGTGCTATGCTGGACTTGGAAGAAAGTGGTGTAGGAAAGGTTCTTCTTACCCTCTATTTTTGGATTTTTCTCTGCTTTTGTACTTTAGTAAGTGCTGTAATCCTTTCTATGAATTTTAGAATTCTCATGAAGTCATTTGATTAAATTTGTGGATAATTGTCAAGTTGATGTTTCCTTTTTTAAAAAGAATTATTTTACTTTTATTTTATTTATTCATTTTATTTTTTAATTTGACCAGAAAGACACAGAGAAAGAGAGAGAGAGAGAGAGCGAAAGTGAGAAAGCAAGCCACCAGGTCTGAGACTCGAATCGTAGTTGGCCATGAGGGAGTCCAGTGTCCCCATCCACCAAGCCACCTGCCAGCCCCAAGTTGATGTTTCTTGAGAGGACTAAAGGTACAAGCGCTTCTGTCCTGTCATCTTCCTGATTTTACCCTAAAAAGGAATTAGTATCAACCCAACTTATATTTTTTTTAAAGAGAGATTTTTGATAATTAGGCATGTGTGCTCACCAGAAAGAGAGAGAGATGGAGAGACAGAGAGCATTAATTCACCCTCGGGGGGGGGGGAAATGACCACATCACAATCCCTTCTCCTCTATTCTCTTCTTGGGACTTGGGCTTTGTGTATCTGGATGTCTGCTTCCCTTCCCAGATTAAGTAAGTTTTTGCATTATCATTATTTTTAAAACTAAACATTCTGTAGCTGTTTTTACTCATTTATATTTTTGTCCTTCATAATGCATGTAAGACACATCTGCCTGGCCTGAGTTTTATTTTATTTTATTTTTTTTTTAATTTTTTTGGAGAGGTTTTTGCTATAGGGCGTGTGCGCTCGCCAGACAGACAGAGAGAGACAGAGAGACAGAAAACAAGAAATCACCTCCCAGGGGGGATGGTCACACCACAATCCCTTCTCCTCCATTCTCCTCTTGGGATCTTGGGCATGCATGCACACACACCCGGCGTGAGTTTTAAGCCACCGGGTCCGGGACACAAACTGCGGTCGACTGCGTGGGAGTCCAGCAACATAGCCATTACGCTAACTGCTGGTTCCCCTGGCCTGAGTTTTAAGCTACTGGGTTCGGGCTCAAACTGTGATTGACTATGTGGGAGTCCAGTGATGTAAATGTCATCTGCTGGTCCCAAGACAACTTATTCTTAAGTGAATTTAAAATATGTGCATATATTATTTATATATGTGTGCATATATATTACATATCTTTTTTGCATTTTTCTGTGTACCTTAATAAGGTCATTATTATTTCTATTGTATATCAGCTCAGATAAAACATTACAGCAAGCTCTATGATAAACTCATTCTGTAAGTTCTGTAAATGCACTCAAAAGTACTCTAACATAAATCACACTGTATCATACTTTCTGTGTATTGTATTTTCTCTCCATTGGACTACTAGTTTTAAAGACTAGTGAATCTAGGGGCCAGCAGGTGGCATAGTAAAGGCACTGAATTTCCATATAACCAAACCAACCACAGTTCAAGTCGCAGACCTGGCAGCTTAAAAATCACAGAGCATGTATGTGTGCATGCCCAAAGTCCCAAGAGGAGAATAGAGAAGGGATTGTGGCATGACCATCCTTCCTGGGGAATGATTTGTCACTTTTTCTCTCTCTGTCTACCTCTCTCCAATGAGTGCACATGCTTAGAGGCAAAAAAATAAATAAATAAAAATAAATAAATAAATAAATAACAGAAACAATACAGTGACTGTTGCTTAGCCTTATATTCTTCCATTTTGGTATATGTTAAACTATATTAAAATTGTTTTTATAAGTGATTGAACAAATAAATCAAAATAAAACAGGATACATTCCTTTTTTAGTACTTTTAATTATGCCAGGGAAACATACTAAGTAAATTTCAACATTTCTACATTAATTAAACATATAACATAAAACAGAATCAAGGATTCCATTAAGTGGAATTCATGATGTGGCTTCTAAATATTATATTTTCCCTATTATTCAAATGTCTACACACATATTTATATTAATATACTCTTACTTTAACCTCATACTAAATGTGGTTCTCAGTTTGAAAATATTATTCAATTTGAACTGTTTTATCCAAAATACTGAAAAAAAGGTAAACTTGTCTTTTCATAAATTTTGGGCTGTGTGTCTTAGGTATATGGCCATATTCCATTCCATTCTTCATTGTAAGAATATCTTTACTGCAGTATTACTAGGAGCTTTAATATTAAAAGTTGTTATTAGTAGTTGTGACCAAAAGGTGGCCTGTGAAAACTAGGATTGCTAGTATGGCTTCATTAGCTTCAGCTGAGGTCTTACATGGAGGTAGAGGTTTGAAAAGATATCTTCTTTCCAAGTTCTCTGTGTATCCTGTAAAAAATTAGAAATATGACTGCTCCTACAAATACTGAAAAGGGCTCTTCTCTCCAGAGGGCCTTTGTTGAATTTGAACAAATATAAGTTATAAAGTTAGACAAACATGACTATCTTCTATCATATACTAGCAAATATTAGTCACAGTTCCTAACTTTAGGTTAATTGTAAGGATTAAACAAGGCGACACATGAGAGGATGCAACATACTATCTAAAATCTAATATTTGCTCATTCTACTCATCATTAATATTAAATGATCATAGCGTTGGGACCAGTAGATGGTGTAATGGTTATGTCCCTGGAATCCCACATAGTCAACTGCAGTTTGAGTCTAGGACCTGGCAGCTTAAAACTCATGCCAGGTGTGTGGGTTAATGTACACAAGATCCCAAGAGACTGGAAGAGAAGAGACTGCGGTGATTTCTCGCTTTCTGTCTCTTTGTCTGTCGGGTGTATGTGCCCTATAGTAAAAATCTCTCTTGTTCAAAAAAAGAAAAAATGATCATAGTTATAAAATGACTTGTAGTTGTGTTGGATTTATAGAATATGTTAGAGATAGTTAATTTTTTTCCCTTCTTCTTCAAAACTCACTTGCTCAGGACCCCCTAAAGAATGCTCCTAAAAATTTTGGAAGGCATAACTATAAAATTACTGGGGAACTAGCAATTTACATTAGGATAACTCCCTTTAGTTATTTCATAAGTTTAAATAAATAATACTGAAGTATTAGCTTTAAATGTGATTTATCTAGTAAACCTTCAAATAATAACTAATATTCATTGCTTTCTATGTAGTAGGCATTAATTTAGTTTAGTCTATTCTTCTTATTTATTCTTTACAACAGTAGTAGTAGAGGTTTGAAAAGATATCTTCTTTCCAAGTTCTCTGTGTATCCTGTAAAAAATTAGAAATATGACTGCTCCTACAAATACTGAAAAGGGCTCTTCTCTCCAGAGGGCCTTTGTTGAATTTGAACAAATATAAGTTATAAAGTTAGACAAACATGACTATCTTCTATCATATACTAGCAAATATTAGTCACAGTTCCTAACTTTAGGTTAATTGTAAGGATTAAACAAGGCGACACATGAGAGGATGCAACATACTATCTAAAATCTAATATTTGCTCATTCTACTCATCATTAATATTAAATGATCATAGCGTTGGGACCAGTAGATGGTGTAATGGTTATGTCCCTGGAATCCCACATAGTCAACTGCAGTTTGAGTCTAGGACCTGGCAGCTTAAAACTCATGCCAGGTGTGTGGGTTAATGTACACAAGATCCCAAGAGACTGGAAGAGAAGAGACTGCGGTGATTTCTCGCTTTCTGTCTCTTTGTCTGTCGGGTGTATGTGCCCTATAGTAAAAATCTCTCTTGTTCAAAAAAAGAAAAAATGATCATAGTTATAAAATGACTTGTAGTTGTGTTGGATTTATAGAATATGTTAGAGATAGTTAATTTTTTTCCCTTCTTCTTCAAAACTCACTTGCTCAGGACCCCCTAAAGAATGCTCCTAAAAATTTTGGAAGGCATAACTATAAAATTACTGGGGAACTAGCAATTTACATTAGGATAACTCCCTTTAGTTATTTCATAAGTTTAAATAAATAATACTGAAGTATTAGCTTTAAATGTGATTTATCTAGTAAACCTTCAAATAATAACTAATATTCATTGCTTTCTATGTAGTAGGCATTAATTTAGTTTAGTCTATTCTTCTTATTTATTCTTTACAACAGTAGTATTTAATGCCTACTGTTGTACTGTATTATAACTCCATATTGATTTTCTAATATAAGATACAGGTTTTAGACTGACTTACTCTATTGGTGGGGTCAAGAGAATCTGACTGAGTCTATTTTTTGAAATATACATCAAGGTTTTGATGAAATAAAACAATTGTGTATGTGAAACTGTTTTAATATTACTAATACCCTCTGTGTTTGTCAATGTTTTCAGATTAATTCTAAGAAAAATAAAAGAAACAGCTACATTTCCTTTCAAGAATTCAATGTATAAATGATTCAGATGAGTAATATTTTAATTAAGTAATAAATGCATATTTATGTTATTTTAAGGATGTTATCTATTACTGTGTTTTCTTGAAAATATAATTACTTGGTTTTCTAAAGCGAACTTCATACCCGTTACCGTGCTTTGTAGAATAAAATCTTTCAAAAAGAATTATTTTCTCTTATTACAAAGAATAAATTTGAAACAATTATTGGTGTTCCCCCCATTCAGCCACTTTTCAAAAACCCCTTGTAGTGTAAATAATGATTTTTTTAATCTCTATTATAAAATTATCTGTATTTAAATGGATTATGCAAGCAGAAGATGTCCTTCTGCTCTTTGTCCATTTCTAGGAGCCTGGTTAAGCAACTGTTCAGTCTTCAGGCATTTACTTTAGCTGGTTCCTGTATTTCACATCTCCACTTCAGAACACTCTACACAAAAGAGGCTGAATATTTTTTAAAATAAATTTGTCTTTATAGTATGCAGTCTTTCAGTTTCTGCCATTGAGTGCAGATGTTCCATGTATATTGAGTGGGCACACACAGTACCTCTCTTTCATTGTCTGGCTTGCTGCTTTTAGCAATACATCTTTCATTTTTGTCCAATGTAAAAAAAAATTACATTTTTTAAAATTATTATTATTAAATTAAATTATTATTAAATCAAATTATTTTAAAATGTCATATTTTTAAAAATTATT